GAGGTATATTGATATGCTTTCCCTTCTTGAATGAGACTCAAAGAGGCTTGTAGCACTAGAAGCGGTGCAAACTACTGTCATGAGAGGACGTGGCTGCTCTGTTTACCCTGCCACGAGGACGAAGGGGGGAGTTTGGGAAGGTGGTGGGGAAGGTGAAGCAGGTAAGAGCATCTGGAGGTGTTTTGGGAATTGGAAGTAGAAACTGTGAGGACGCCTTCTGAGCAGAAACTCTCCTTAGAAGCCAAGGTGACTAAAGTGGGGACAATATATGATGTCTCCACTGTAGAATTAATGCGGTTTGGCCCTTGGTCTGCCCTGGCTCCATGCCATGAGATCCCGGGATACACACTTTGGCGAGGCGCCAGCCCTCTTTGGCGGAGGAGGCCAAAGAACCGGAAAGACTACGCCTCCCATGATTCCACAGCATTGAGCCACTGCCATTCGAGTGGTGCGGAATGGCTCTAATTACAAAGCGTAATCGTAATTAACGTGACGCTGCCAGACTCTGGCCGCGCTGGGAGGGCTCCCTGGAAAGGACAAGCATCCTGCTCAAGCCTGAAAGGGCAGAACATGCCAACACGGGCCGTCCCCGAGTAACAAACATCTGACTTACAAAGGACTCAGAGTTAAGAACAGGACTGAAACAACAGGAAGTGAGAAGACTGTCATAGAATCCTAGAGTTGGAAGAGACTTCATGGGCCATCATCCAGTCCAACCCCATTCTGGCAATATGCAGGACAATCGCATTCAAAGCACCGCCAACAGATGGCCATCCAGCCTCTGTTTAAAAGCTTCCAAAGAAGGAGCCTCCACCACACTCCGCCTCCATGTAAAGTGGGCATTTCCCCCCCAGAAGCCTCTTCTCGGGCGCCTTTTGTCGGAGGAGAAGAGAGACCCATGAGGCCCCTCTCTGCCTCTGGAGGCCATAAACACAGACCTGAGAGTCAGCATAAGGGACCCTTCATCCAAAGCTAGGGGTGGGGAGACTTCCTTTTGTGTCTCTACTCTTTGATCTGAGGCTACAATAAAAGTAAGTGTTGATCTTTCAGAGTTTTTTGGGGGAGAAGCCAATAGAGGATGATGGGGGTTGTAGTTTGCCCACATCTGGAGAGAGCTGTGAACCCCAACCGCGTTGGAGCTGACCCACACTTGGAAGGCACGCCCTTCGCGACCCACATAAAATGCTGGTGGAGTCTGAGGGGTACTGACCCTGAGCGATGGGAGTCGGCGCCCATCTGTGTACTGCTAATGGGACCCTTCACAAAACTAGTGTTAATACAAAGTTGTCCTCTTATTGTATTCTTAATTATAATGATACGAAGTTCAAAATAAAAATATATACATAATCTGACTTGGCCACGGTAGTCTACGCTCTGCTTACATCCCGTTTAGACTACTGCAACGCTCTCTACGTGGGGTTGCCCTTGAAGACGGCTCGGAAGCTCCAATTGGTCCAACGTACGGCAGCCATGATATTAACAGGAGCGGGACGCAGGGAGCATACAACCCCCCTTCTGTACCAGCTCCACTGGCTGCCGATCTGCTACCGGGCTCAATTCAAGGTGCTGGCTTTGGCCTATAAAGCCCTAAACGGTTCCGGCCCAAGATACCTAACTGACCGCCTCTCGGCCTATGAGCCCACGAGGACTTTGAGATCTTCCAGGGAGGCCCTGCTCTCGATCCCACCTGCGTCACAGGCACGGCTGGCGGGGACGAGAGATAGGGCCTTCTCGGTGGTGGCTCCTCGGCTGTGGAACACCCTTCCCGTAGACATCAGGCTAGCCCCCTCCCTGTTGATATTCCGCAGGAAGCTGAAGACCTGGTTGTTTAAGAAGGCTTTTGAATAGAAGTGCAATGACTGGTAACTTGACCATAGGAATGGAACAACGGAAATGGTATCGGATTGTGAACTTGACGATGAGACGACTCGGAATAGCTTTGTAGTAATGTTGATGTTTTTGATGAGATGTTTTGATAATGCTGTACTGCGGATTATTTTACACTATGTTTGTATTTTGCACCTGTTTTTTCTATGTTGTACACCGCAATGAGTCGCCAGTAGGCTGAGAATTGCGGTATATAAGCGAAGTAAATAAATAATAAATAAATAAGTATTATTTATAAGTAAAAAACACGTGAAACAAACAAATACATTTAGACATGGCTTACAGACGTAACAAACATTATGCTCATCATGTTGGAATGCTTTCCAAAATAACTCATAAGTTCTCCTGTATTCTCTGTGATAATGAGTGAATATATAAACCCCTTTTCCTACTTCCAACAGACCTCCCAACCTCTGAGGATGCTTGCCATAGATGCAGGCGAAACATCAGGAGAAAATGCCTCTAGACCATGGCCATATAGCCCGGAAAACCTACAACAACCCGGATGAGGATAAGTGAGGGGTCCGTGAATATAGGTCAGAGAATGAGTTAAGTCAGGGTATTTAAGGAAATAGACAAGATAGAGAGTGGAGAACCGTTGAAAGTTTGCTATTACATGGTTAACAAGTGAATCTTGTGTAAAAAGTCCTAAGGAAGAGAGTTGTCCTGAAACAATGTTATATTCAACTAAGACGCTAAAATACAAATGCAACCCACAAACTTTTGTGCAAGACATCTATAAATAAACTCAGTTAACGTGGAGTTGCGTACGAAGACTGTGTCGCAAAACATTGAGTAAGGTTTAAAGAGAAACCCAGAGGAGTCCCAGCAAAATCCCAGAAGAGAACTGGTGTAAGTTACTGGCCTGAATTGGTGACAGTGGAGAGATATCAAAGAAAGGATCTTATTTATTTATTATTTATTTACCTTACTTCTATATGGCTGTTCTCAGCCCGAAGGCGACTCACAGCGGTTCACAACAAATACGAACAGTAACAATCCAGTGCTACAGTATAGAAACAGTTAACAACCTAACACATTACACAATTAATAAACAGTTACTACAATACCCATTCACTGTCGTCTCGTCATCAAAAAACATGTTCCAGATTCGTCATCCATTGTTCCATTCCAGTGTTCATTAACCAATCATTGCACTAATTATTCGAACGCCTGCTCAAACAGCCAGGTCTTCACCTTTTTGCGGAATATCTTTTCCCTTCCCTACTGGGTTTGAAGATATATTATGGGAAGACCAAGGCAGAGACATCTCCAGCTCATCCCTTGTTTGGGTATCAGCCAGCACGTCAACAACTTAAATCCAGACATAGTTTTCCAAGATCTACAGAGACACTCATTGGAACACCTCAGCAAGCGAGAGTCCAAAAGTGGCAGGCTCAAACCCAGAACCTCAACCAATGCCTGATACCAAATGAGAGACTCCCCCCTGGACACACAGAAGGCTGGGCAACTTGGAAGGCGATGAACAGACTGCGTTCTGGCCCCACGAGATGCAGAGCCAACCTCAAGAAATGGGGCCACAAAGTGGAATCCACAACATGCGAGTGGGGAGAAGAGCAAACCACTGACCACCTGCTGCGATGCAACCTGAGCCCTGCCACATGAGGCACAAGGGAGGACCTCCTTGCGGCAACACCAGAGCCACCCCAAGGGGCCAGGTACTGGTCAAGGGACATTTAACCAACTACCAAACTCACACATTTTGAATTTTCTCTGTTTGTTTGCTTTGTTCTGTTAGAAATGTAATATAATTGACTGGCATTTAGATGCCACCCTTCTCACCCCAAAGGGGACTCAGAATGACTTACAAGGGATATATACATACAATATATTATATTATTAAAACAAAAGAACCAATGAACGAAATCACACCAAATTTGGTAACAAAACGTCTCACAACACAAGGAGTGACCATCACTCAAAAAATTATGATTTTGTCATTTGGGAGTTGTAGCTGCTGGGATTTATAGTTCACCTAGAATCAAAGAGCATTCTGAACTCCAATGATGGAATTGAACCAAACTTGGCACACAGAACTCCCTTGACCAACAGAAAAGAGTTTGGTGGGCATTGACTTTGAGTTTGGGAGTTGTAGTTCACCTACATCCAGAGAGCACTGTGGACTCAAACCATGATGGATCTGGACCAAACTTGGCACGAATATTCCATATGCCCAAATATAAACACAGATTGAGTTTGGGGGGAAATAGACCTTGACCAACAGAAAATACTTAACGCCATCCAGTCCAACTCCCTTCACCAGGGCAAGAAGACGTAATCAAAGTCCTCCTGACAGAGAGCCATAGATATAGATAGATATATATGATTCACACACACAGAGAGAAAGTATTATAGATTTGAAAGGGACTCCTAAAGATGGACAATGATATGTTGCATGTTCCAGAGTAGGCAAACTACACAATCTCTACGTCAACACTGTCAAAGAAACATCAAGAAATATTGTTTACCCACAAGCATCAAGACATTACGTATATTAGAAACCAGCACTTTCTAATTATTTTATTTTCCAGATCACCAGACTGGGCCACAGCAACGCCTGGCAGGGGACCACGAGTGTAATATAAATATATAATTATAATATCAATTACGATGTATTTTGTTATTGTGTGTTTATTATGTTGTATTATTTTGGGCTTGGCCTCATGTTAGCCGCCCCGAGTCTCCTTTGCGGAGATGGTGGCGGGTTATAAAGATTATTATTATTATTATTGCGATTGGATACCCAGCGTGGCTCTGCCACCCTTCCTGCGGAGACTGACCTCTGAGAAGAGCTGCTCGTTCTCAACCCGGAGGCCGGTGGGGGCGGCAGTGGAGGAGGAGGGGGGCCGGCCATTGGCCTGGGGGTGTGGGGCAGGGCGAAGCCCCTCTGGTTTCGCAGCAGCACCAGCATCATGGGGACCCTTTGAGGCCTCTCCTCCTCCTTCTTGTGGTCTTCTTTCTCCTTCCTCCTCCTCCTCGTCGTCGTCCAGAATGAGGCAGCTGCTGCTGTCCGAGGAGGAGGAGGGGATGACGGCGATGGCCGAGTCGGTGGTGGCGTGAGCCATGGCCGGAGGGAGAGGTCGGGGCAGGCCTCAGGGTGCACAGCAAGCAGAGCGGAGCCTCCCTGTCATCCCTGAAGGGAAGGAAGGAGAAGAGCAACATTAGGAGTACTAACGCACACGAAGCATACAAGAAGCTCAGTCTCTCATTATAATAACAATAATAATAAAACTTTATTTGTACCCCGCTACAATTTCCCCAAGGGACTCGCTGCGGCTTACATGAGGCCGAGCCCACAATACATCAGCAAAAAACAACAACAACAGTAATACAAAACAATCAAATAAAACTCATAAACAGAAAATAAGCAGTAAACATGAACAATAACACAACAACATTTAAAAAACCTATGATTGGGACAAATGTAATAGTTAAAATTTTAAAAATAATGCTGAGCATGACCAGGTGAAATACAACTAGGATGGGGCATGCAGACAATCCTAGATCACTAATAAAGTGCATTTAGGGACATATTGCTGGGAGTTTCCTTATTCTGGGAAGGCACACTGGAACAACCATGTTTTCAGGCTCCTCCTGAAAACTGTCAGAGTTGGGGCATGCCTGATGTCCTTGGGGGGTGAGTTCCAGAGTCTGGGGGCCACCACCGAAAAGGCCCTCTCCCTCGTCCCCATCAATTGCGCCTGCGATGGAGGTGGGAGAGCGAGCAGGGCCTCTCCAGATGATCGAAGAGATTGTGTGGGTTCGTACACACAATCTCATTGAACATCGAGAAAACCAAAGTGCTGTTCCAGCAGTCAATCCCTCTCCAATGGCAGAGATACAGCTTAATGGTGTAACATTAGAAAATGTGGACCATTTCTGCTCCCCTGAGAGCCACCTCTCCACCAAAGTCAACATCGACGCCGAAATACAACACTGCCTGAGCTCTGCGAGTGCAGTATTTTTCCGGATGAAGCAGAGAGTGTTTGAGGACCGGGACATCCGTAGGGATAGCAAGGTGCTTGTTTATAAAGCTACTGTCCTCCAGACCCTGCTCTGTGCCTGCGAGACGTGGACTGTCTCATGCAACTGACGTCACATGCAACTCCTGGAACGATTCCATCAGCATTGCCTCTGAAAAATTCTGCAAATCTCTTATGAAGACAAACGGACAAAGGTCAGTGTGCTGGAAGAAGCAAAGAAGTGATGCTCCTCCGCCATCAACTCCGCTGGACTGGCCACGTTGTCTGGATGCCCGACCACTGTCTCCCAAAGCAGTTGCCCTACTCCGAACTCAAGAATGGAAAATGGAATGTTGGAGGACAGGAAAAGAGATTGAAAGATGGGCCCAAAGCCAACCTTAAAAACTCTGGCATAGACACGGAGACATGGGAAGCCTGGGCCCTTGAGCACTCCAGTTGGAAGTCGTCTGTGACCAGCAGTGCTGCGGAATTTGAAGAGGCACAAATGGAGGGTGAAAGAGAAACGTGCCAAGAGGACAATGAGGGATCGCCTAAGTTAAGTAAGTAAGTAATTGGCTGTCCTCCTTTCTTCACAGCCGTGGACAGCGAGTGGAGAGGGGAGGCCTGGTCTCCGAGAGGTCCCCTCTATCTTGTGGGGTTCCTCCTCAGGGGGCCATTCTCTCCCCTCTGTTGTTTAACATCTATATGCGACCACTTGCTCAGTTGGTCCGAGGTTTTGGGCTGGAGTGTTATCAGTATGCCGATGACACTCAGCTGGTGCTGAAGATGGAAGGCCGACCGGACTCCGTACCCGATTCCTTCCCTCAGTGCCTCGAGGCCGTGACTGGATGGCTGCGTGCCAGCAGGTTGAGGGTGAACCCGGCAAAGACGGAGATCCTATGGCTGGGTGGACCGGGCAGTGGGGACATCCATCTGTCCACCCTGGATGGTGAGGCACTACGCCCATCATCATTGGTCAAGAGTCTGGGAGTCCTTTTGACCCTCTGCTGACAATGGAGGCCCAGGTCTCTCTCCGCCGTGAGCAGAACCGCCTTCTTTCTTCCACCTGCGGCAGGCTAGACGGCTGGCCCCCTCCCTGTCCAGGGGCTACGGTGATCCAGGCCACGGTCATCTCCAGACTGGACTACTGCAACGCCCTCTACATTGGCCTTCCTCTGTTGGTGATCCGGAAGCTCAAGTTGGTCCAAAAGGCAGCTGCTCGGCTTCTTGCGGGAATTCCGACGAGATGCCACATCACCCCAATCTTCCTGCAGCTGCGTTGGTTACCCATTGAGCACCGGATCACCTTCAAAGGGATGGTACTCACCTTTAAGGCCTTGCATAGTCTGGGGCCAATGTACCTGAGGGACCGCCTCACCCCCTACCAACCCCAGAGATCCCTCCGTTCTGAGGACCAAGATCTATTGGAAATTCCCGGTGTCAAGACCTTGCGTCTAACAGCAACCAGATGCAGAGCCTTCACAGCAGTGGCACCATCACTCTGGAATACTCTGCCACCTGAAGTCCGTGCCTTGCGGGACTTACCAGCTATCCGCAGGGCATGTAAGACATACCTGTTTCGACAGGCTTTTAATGTTTGATATTGCTGTTTTTAAATTGTTTTAAATTGCGTTTAAATTTTGTTAGATTTTAGCCATTCCAGGGAAGGGAGTGGCTGCATATAAGTTTGAATAATTAACTAATTAGTTAAGTAGTACTACTAAGGCCTTGGGTGGGACTAGGCCAGGCACCCTCCAGCTGTTTGGGCCTCCCACTCCCACCATTCCTGACCATTGGACAAGCTCATTAGGGACTACAACGCTCTAGTGAGCTTGCCCAATGGTCAGGAATGGTGGGAGTGGGAGGCCCAAACAGCTGGAGGGCCGCATTTGGAGGGAGCCTGGACTAGGCCAGCTGGGGCCTTCTTCCCTCAAGTGTTTTGGACTCCAACTCCCAGCATTCCTCAGGGTACTCAGGCCCTTTCCTTTCCCCCCTCAGCCCCTTAAGGAAAGGTCCTGAGGAATGCTGGGAGTTGGAGTCCAAGGCACCCCTCCCTGCCTTCCTGCTTGGCTCACCGTCGTCGTCGCCTCCTTCCCGCCGCGGCCAGTTCCTCTTCTTCTCTCCCTCGGCGCGCACTGCGCAGGACCGGAAGTCCCCGCCGAACCGTTTTCCTATATCCCGCCCTTTTCCATTCGGCCTCTTCTGCGCATGCTCCGCTCCGCGCCACGGCGCCCCCTACGGCGGCCCGAGAGGGGACATCCCCAGTCTACGCCCACCGCTCCTGCCCACGTGACGCAAACAAAGGCCTCCTCAGCCAGGGAGGGGAGGGAGGGAGGGAGGCCCCTTCTGGGAGGGAGATCCCACCCCGCAGATGGCCATGCCATGTCGCCAGGAGGAGGGATAGCTAGCTATAGAATCCTAGAAGAGTTGGAAGAGACCTCCTCCTGGGCCATCCTCCTCCAGTCCACCCCCATTCTGCCAAGAAGCAGGAACATTGCAGTTAAATCACCCCTGACAGATGGCCATCCAGCCTCATAGAATCAAAGAGTTGGAAGAGACCTCCTGGGCCATCCTCCAGTCCACCCCCATTGTGCCAAGAAGCAGGAATATTGCATTCAAATCACCCCTGACAGTTGGCCATCCAGCCTCTGTTTCAAAGCCTCCAAAGAAGGAGCCTCCAACACACTCCCTCCGGGGCAGAGAGTTCCACTGCTGAACATAGAATCCTCGAGTTGGAAGCGACCTGGTGGGCCATCCAGTCCAACCCCATTCTGCCAAGAAGCAGGAATATTACATTCAAAGCACCCCTGACAAATGGCTATACCCAGCCCTCTCCCCAATGCTCTTCAGTATCTCCATCAGGCCTGGGCAGACTTGGACCCATCTGAACACGAGGAAGAACTTCCTGGCTGTGAGAGCTGTTCAGCAGTGGAACTCTCTGCCCCGGAGTGTGGTGGAGGCTCCTTCTTTGGAAGCTTTTAAACAGAGGCTGGATGGCCATCTGTCAGGGGTGATTTGAATGCAATATTCCTGCTTCTTGGCAGAAGGAGGTTGGACTGGATGATGGCCCAGGAGGGGGTCTCTTCCAACTCTTTGATTCTAGGATTAGATGCTTTTGTGCTGTGGTGCTGGAGGAAAGTGCTGAGAGTGCCTTGGACCGCCAGAAGATCCAACTAGTCCATCCTCCAGGAAAGAAAGCCCGACTAAAGCTCACTGGAGGGAAGGAGACTAGAGACAAAGTGGAAGTCCTTTGAATGCCACATCATGAGGAGAGAAGACAACTATGCTGGGGAAGGTGGAAGGTAAAAGGAAGAGGGGCCGACCAAGGGCAAGATGGATGGATGGGATCCTTAAAGTGACTGGACTGACCTTGAAGGAGCTGGGGCTGGTGACGGCCGACAGGGAGCTCTGGCGTGGGCTGGTCCAGGAGGTCACTAAGAGTCGGAGACAACTGAACGAATGAACAACAACAACAACATGATTCCATCCAGGTGTTTTGGACTCCAACTTCCACCATTCTTAACCCTGTGCTCAATGAGGTCACACTGTATGATTAGGTTGAATGGCCATCTGTTGGGAAGGCTTTGGTGGTGACTTTCCTGCCTTCTTCTTCTTAGGTGATCCCTCATTGGACAAATAAGATGGTCTTCCATTATGGGTTTCCTTGTGGGTCCGCATGTGGCTGTGGAGCCCTATTCTTGCTCTGCATCTTCTTCCGCAGTGTGGGCATTGGTTTCCAGGTGGAAGGCGGTCCCGGTCGGGGTTGGCTTGACGCGCCTTCCTCCTGGCACGTTTCTCTCTTTCACCCTCCACTCGTGCCTCCTCAAATTCTGCAGCACTGCTGGTCACAGCTGACCTCCAACTGGAGTGCTCAAGGGCCAGGGCTTCCCAGTTCTCAGTGTCTATGCCAGAGTTTTTAAGGCCAGCTTTGAGCCCATCTTTAAATCTCTTTTCCTGTCCTCCAACATTCCGTTTTCCATTCTTGAGTTCGGGCAACTGCTTTGGGAGACGGTGGTTGGGCATCTGGACAACGTGGCTGGTCCAGCAGAGTTGATGGCAGAAGACCATCACTTTAATGCTGGTGGTCTTTGCTTCTTCCAGCACGCTGACGTTTGTCCACTTGTCTTCCCAGGAGATTTGCAGGATTTTCTGGAGGCAGCGCTGATGGAATCGTTCCAGGAGTTGCATGTGACGCCTGTAGACAGTCCACGTTTCGCAGGGTTGGGAGGGGAATAGCTTTATAGACAAGCCCCTTGGTCTCCCTACGGATGTCCCGGTCCTCAAACACTCTCTGCTTCATTCGGGAAAATGCTGCACTCGCAGAGCTCAGGCGGTGTTGTATTTTGGTGTCTATGTTGACTTTGGTGGAGAGGTGGCTGCCAAGGGAGCGGAAATGGTCCACATTTTCTAATGTGACACCATTAAGCTGTCTCTCTGGCATTGGAGAGGGGGTGGCTGGTGCCTGCTGGGAGAGCACTTTGGTTTTCTCAATGTTCAGTGACAGGCCAAGCTTCGTGTATGCTTCTGCGATGGTGTTTAGAGTGGCTTGTAGATCTTTCCTGCCTGGAGGGTGTCTGGATGGCCTTTAGAGACCCCTTGTGATTCTAGGAGGCATTGGGCCCCCTTGAGTCCCTAAATGCAGAGAAAGAAGTCAGCCAAGAAGGGCTCGGCTTCTCCTGCCTGGCAGAAGGTGTGGGCTAGGCTGGATGGCCTTTGGAGGCCCCTTCTCAAGCTTGGATGCCCTGTTTCTCAGCTTGTTTTGGTCCTCCCTGAGTCCCTCAATAGAAAGAAGGCAACCAATAAGAATGGCCTTTGGGGGTCTCTTCAACTCGAGTACAGCCTTGTTTCTCCATAAACCTTGTAAGATCTAGGATTCGGTTGGACAGCCGTCTGTTGGGAGGGCTTGAGTGGGGCCTTTTCCTGCCAGGGAGAACGAAGCGAGACTGGATAGCCTTTAATAATAATAATAATAATAATAATAATAATAATAATAATAATAATAATGTATTGTCGAAGGCTTTCATGGCCGGAATCACTGGTAGGTTTTTCACATTGTAGGTTTTTTCGGGCTAAATGGCCATGTTCTGGAGGCATTCTTTCCTGACGTTTCGCCTGCATCTGTGGCAAGTATCCTCGGAGGTAGTGAGGTCCGTTGGAACTAGGAAAAGGGGTTTATATATCTGTGGAATGACCAGTGTGGGACAAAGGACTCTTGTCTGCTGGAGCCAGGTGTGGATGTGTCAACTGACCACCTTCATTAGCATATAATGGGCTGGAGGTGCCCGGAGCAAACCTTTGTTGAGAGGTGATTAGATGTCCTTGTTTGTTTCCTCTCTGTTGTTGTGCTCTTCTAATTTTAGAGGTTTTTAATACTGGTAGCCAGATCGTGTTCATTTTCATGGTTTCCTCCTTTCTGTTGACATTGTCCACATGCTTCGTGTGGATTTCATAGAATCATAGAATCAAAGAGTTGGAAGAGACCTCATGGGCCATCCAGTCCAACCCCATGCCAAGAAGCAGGAATATTGCATTCAAATCACCCCTGACAGATGGCCATCCAGCCTCTGCTTAAAAGCTTCCAAAGAAGGAGCCTCCACCACACTCCGGGGCAGAGAGTTCCACTGCTGAACGGCTCTCACAGTCAGGAAGTTCTTCCTCATGTTCAGGTGGAATCTCCTCTCTTGTAGTTTGAAGCCATGGCTACATTGCGTCCTAGTCTCCAGGGAAGCAGAACACAAGCTTGCTCCTGAGCCCGAGCGCGGCAGGGAGCTCCGCTTTCACATTGGTGTGAACCACAGCGGAGAGTTCCGCAGTTCCTGGGTCAAGTTTTGGGGACCAACAGATGAAATGTGCCCCAGCAGCCAGCTCAAAACAAGGAATGCCTGCAACTTCCCTTTGCTTTCCCCTTCTCCCTACTTTGTATCATTTCCCTAATAAAGGTACTTGAAACTTGCAACTTTTTATCTCTCCGCTTGATACTTTTCTATCTTTCCTGGCTCAGACTATAACAACGCTAAAATAAACCTTTTTCCGGGCTCTGGAGAGCCGTGAGCCCGCGGGAGGCGCCTCCGGGTGCCCCCGGGACCCCGAATCTGCGTCCGTTCAAACCGCGGATACGGAAACCGCCATTTCAGACCCCCTTATCCGCGAAAAATCATAAAATGGCGGATCGCCGCCGTTTCAATTTTATATTTTTCTGCTACTAATCCTAAGCCTAACTGCTATCTCCCTTTTCTCATTTTGGGCTCCTACACACGGGAATAAATTGTTTTGTTCCAAGTATTTTACTTTGACAGAAATCAGCTGTTTGCCAATTTGGCCGGGTTCTTCCCAGACAGTTCGTTCCTCCTCAGCGGTGCTCACTCCTGCCTGGATCCAGCAACCGGGGACCCACTGTGGCCACCCACAGGAGTCCCGGGGAGGCAGCCAGGCGTGGGTTCCTGCCTCTGACCTGGGAGACATAGTTCTCCAAAGGGCATTGCCTCATAATTGCAACCCGGAAATCCTCTTCAGACTCTTTTGCCCTCTCCTATTGACTTTCTGCCCCACGTCTCGGATTGTTTTCCTGCTATATCTTCGGACATGAACTTTCAGACCGGGCTTGCCTTGAAGGACAAGCAGCCTCAGCTTCCGCGCGCCTTCATCAAGAGACTATGAATTTCTTCAAATAATAAAATAAATCAACTATTTTTAATAAACTTTGCTGGGGATGGGGATGGGATTGTTTTATGAAATATATGAAATGTATGGAATGCATATAATGAAATATCATATGGAATGTACTATGACTCCCCTTCCCGCCTTTCCCTTTGACCCTTGCCCCAAAAAGATGTGACCTGGGGATTACTGTCATGGAGAGGAACTCCTTTGTCCTCCCGAAACTATTCTTGATTACATTTGCATGGGCCGTGCTGTTGTCTTCCCCCGATCCTGGCTTTCAGAGCAGACTAGCGAGGGGAGGGGGGGTCAACAGAAACTCAGGAAGAAAAGACTGATTAAATCATTTAGGTATTGTTGATCCCCCTTTGAGGTCCAATATCGCAAAAAGCCTTTTTCATACTTCCTCACAAATCCCATCACAGACCAGGAAGCTCATTGTCCCCCTATCTGACACCCCACCATGTGAGGACAAAGCCTCACATTCCAGCTGGCGGATGCTCTTAAGGCTGTCATTTCCTCAGTCTTTGTCAGGCTTCGTCCCGCCTCCTAGCTGCCGATTGGTCCATCTTCCGAGG